TTCAGACGTGTGCTCTTCCGATCTCCCCAAAACCCCAAAACCCCGCAAATCTTAATTTTAATGGGAAAAAGTAATTATGATTTATTTGAATCAATCAATCCTATTTCTGAGATTTATTTTAGTATTTTTCTCTCTCTTCTTTGATAAATTTGGCTCTTTATCTGAACATATGCATGTATAATCCTGGAAATCCTAAGAGGTAAAATATTGGGGTGATGCATAGATACATCTAGTAATCAAAAGCAAAGTTGTACTTGTTAGGCATATTAATTGTAAAAGGTTTAGTATTCATTGAGCTTAAATTCAATACTGTATAATATATAGCTATCAATTCACCAGCAACTCCTGTTGGGTATACAGGTATGAAAGTTGTGTATCTAATATATCCAAGGAATGTTGCAAGCTTAGAATTGCTTAGAATCTTAAATTACTTAATAAGATAAAAGGAAAATCTAATAACTTCAATAGTAGACCACATTAAAGCACAAATGATAATACCGAACTAGCCCTCAGGATTTTTCACATAAGGGAAAACCCCATACACTATAAATATTCTAGATACGTATTAAGGTAGAGTGGCTCTCACTGAATTATTTGTTAAACCTGTTATGCTGTATGCGACATCAAGTACCTAAAGGGTTTGAAAGAACTCGATATAAGCTCTAAACTCAGGAACTCTATAATAGTGATCGAAGCGCCATTCTTTGTTTACATAGAGATTTGTTGAAATAAGCATAAATATATAGGCCCATCCAAGAATTTAAGTGACATTATGAATTATCATTTAAGGCGCAAAACTATTCGAAGATTGTATTTATAGCCTATCTCTTTGAATGTTTTCAACCTTAGGCTAATTTAAGAGCTAGTCTTATGGCTACTTGTTTGATTTAGCTTATGATTTATTTGACATTTTTAAGTTCAAATTGTTAAAGTTAATAAAAATAATAAAGATTCTTAAATTAAGTACACAAAAGCATTCTAAAAAATTAAAATCTAAATCCAGTTCAAACAATCTAGGTATATCTCACTCATGATTAGCAAAATTAAGATATGTGAACCCAGCAGTCACTAGAGCCGTAATGACAATCTTTTTGATTTTCTCCATTTTCTTTTCATAGTTATAGACATTTAGAGCAGCTGGTGAAAGTTCACTCTCATCCTCTACATCATTCTTAGATACATAAACAACTCTATCATGAGTCATCAACTCATAGTCATAATCACTATAATCATCTAATCTGAGTAATTTACAAATAATTATTAAGCTTAAGTTAGATTTGCTATGAATCATCAATAGCATAATACCCTTCCTGATTATTAGCTTCTTAACCATCAAAATTTTGCTTGAGAAAAAGATCTACTCTATCTACAAATTTAACGAGATTGATGTAATTATTTCTAAGATATCTTGTCTAAATCATTATTAATCAGCAATATTAAGTCTACCTCATTTGATTATGGAGTGTTATTTAACTGCTCTTTTATGTAGGCATATACTATTATATCTAGTGAGGAGAGTCTTTCCAGATAAATTTATTCCTCATACATATTGTTTAATTCAACAATAGGTCTCTATGAAAAAAAGCTAACTTTTTAACCAAGATGTCTAGATAACTTCTCATGAATTTCTCTTGCGACTTCAAATCTGTGATGAAAGTTGTCTAAGTTATGGTATTCATGAACGAATTTCCTGAGGTAATGCTAATCAAAATAATAGGTAAAGCCATTTAAGAAGTTTCTAAAAAATCTTTGAAATTTCTTAGATTTCAAACTTCCATCTGATTTAATCTCGTAATTCAATCTCTATTTTTAAGAATTATAACATATGTGGTTAATTTTACTGTGATTATAGATAATTTATTTCTGATCAATGTTTCGAGATATTCAGCTTGATATCTCTCTTCTTGAGAAAGTTTAGCCTTTATATTTATCTTGGTAATAAGTTTAAAGAAGAGAGGGATGTTGTTTCTAGTTATAAATAGGTTCTTATAAAGAACTAATGGATATTAGCCGTATGTCTCATCTAATTCAAATTTATTGCATGTGTACCTCTCACTTATATCAATCTTTGCTAATTTGCAATAAACCTTAAGCATTAATTAAGAGATTTAACATACTTTAGCAATAAGCTCCTCTGGTATAAGATAATCTCTATTCTTAAGTTCGTCATTTTTATATTCTCCTGTTAAGGGAGTAAATAGTTTTTCCAGTATCGTTTGACTCTAAACTTTGAATTATTTAGAATAGAGAACAATATCTAAGTTTTGTGCCATTAATTAATTTTATGATAAAATATTTTTGATTATTTTCAATCTTTGAATTAGAGACACATGGGGTTTTGGGGTTTTGGGGTTTTGGGG